TCTACTTCAATGTCAATCTCATCTCTAATGAGTTCGTACATCTCTACAGCTAACACTGCTGCACATAACTCCAATCTAGGAACAGTGTGAGCAGGTCTTGGGGCTACTTTGGACTTGCCCATGATGAAACCTGTGTGCCACTGACCTTCATCATCAAGAGCTCTCAGATATGCCACTACTCCTATGGCCATGGTGCAGGCATCCGAAAAATATGCACACTTCTTTTTTCACAGTAATGGCCTAGGAGAACGGAAGGTAGCACCTCGGTATCTGTAGCTACTCAAGATCCTTCAATGAGCTTCTCCATTTGCTCCATTCCTCTTCTCTTTCTGCAGGAAGTGATTCATCCCAGTCCTTTTGCTCTGAGGACAATTCATGGAGAAGAGCTTTTCCCTACATTGTGATGGGTGACACAAAACCCAGCGGGTCATATAGACTGTTAACAGTGGCCAAGACACCTCTCCTGGTGAATGGATTTTGCTCAGTGGTGATGTGAAATGTAAAAAAGTGATTTTTAAGATTCCACAGTACCCCTAAGCTCCTTTGCTGGGGTATGTTGTCCAGCTCAAAATCCAAGTCTTTTAGATCCACATTCACACACCGGTGTGTGAATGTGAGAGTGAATGAATAGTGGTATTGTAAAGCGCTTTGGGTGCCTTGAAAAGCGCTATATAAATCCAATCCATTATTATTATTATTATTATCCTTGGCTCTCTCAGCAGCAAGGAACGCTTCCACTACTTTGTGGTCATTAGAGGTTATTTTATGTAGCCTTAAGTTTGACTGTGCCAACATCTTTTGAGCGTCTTTTGCTCTGGATTCGAGACCATTATCAACATAAAAATGTCTCATTACAAATTGCTTTGCATCATGTCCATGCTCTTCTTCTCCCTCAACTGCAGCACGCCTTATACAATAAATAGCCACAGCTGGGAAAGGGCTATTCCCAAAAACATGAACCCTCATTCTATAGTCACAACTGCCTTTGTTGGGATTATTATCTTCATACCAAAGGAATCTCAGATAATCCCTATGATCCTCTCTCACTTCAAAACAATAAAACATTTGTTGCACGTCAACTGAAAATGCTACAGGCAAGAATTTGTTTTTTACGTAAATTGCAACACCGCCACCCTTTCTGGGGCGGTCGCAACGGAAAGGTTTATAGCGCGTTATTGCAATGTCTTTGTCAGTAACCGATTTTGTAAGCCAGGTTTCTGATAATGTAAGAATATCAGTATCTAACTCTTTCATCCAAATTTT